ATAATATAAATTCCTCTTGTTTCATAACAGATAAGACTAAACTGTACCAGTGAAATGTACTGATCATAAGAACATGGTCTTTTAAAGTCACTATCTGCTAGCTTTGGGCAAGCAGAGTTGTCTTTGTATTTCCACAATTAGAAAATCCAATTTGTCACGCACTCTCGGGGATTGGTTCACAGAGGGCATCTGTAGCTTGGTCGTTGGAGCAAATGCAATGGATGAGAAAAGTCCACTGATACATCATACATTTTCAAGATACTAACACAAATGGCTTTGCATTGTAGAAGGCCCCTGACCTAATGAGAGAGTAAATATTTTAAAGCCAAATATTAGATTAAAACTTCATGTTATTATTTTAATATTAGGTACGTTTTCCTGAATATATACATAAACGAAGTGTCCGAGCATCCGTTCAACATATTTTTCGTAAGGTTAATATGACATCTGATATTTTCGTGAAGAAGTTATTCTACAAATACTTGTATTTGGTTTAGTAACTCTCCTATGGATATTTTATTTAGGTTTAAATTTGATTAATATGGTTATAAGATCCATAGATGATGAGCTTCGTTGTAAGTGCAGTTCGTTTTCGGAACAAAATTAAAACAAAGTTATAAAGTATATTTGTGTTAATACCTACATTATATAGGTATATCAATGTATTTACTGATAGTTTGTGCCTACAATTTTGTACTGCGTATATATTTAAAATAGGGGTTTTCCGATCTAAGTTCAAAATTCCTAGCCTTCTTTGGGCATAGTCCACACCTTTTTTGCTATAGATTTGGGTCCATTGATTTTTATTATTTTTTTCATGTCTCAATTTTACCATTTGAGGTAAATAAGGAAAAAATATTAATTGAAAACCCAAATTAATCTATCGATTCTTTCCTTCTAAATAGATTTCATATTTTAAATTTTGAATCCTTCTATTGCCGCCATGACATAAAAGAAGTTCATATAAAACAATGAAAATAGGAGAATTATTGATGATATCTTCCCAACAAATATTTACCTGACTACTAGGTAAATAGGATATAATATACCTAATTATTAGGTAAGTATAAGATAATGTACCTAAATACTAGGTAAATATAAGATAATGTAGCTAAATACTGGGTAAATATAAAATAATGTACCTAACACATAAGTAGTATACTCTACTATACCTGATAAACATGTATATTTTAGATAAAATGTGTGGATTTGAGTGATACAACCAATAATCGTAAAATGCCACAACAAAAACATGGAAAAAATAGGAAAAACTGGAAGATAATTAACTATCAAGGAACAAAGGAATCGAAAATGATGTGGGGGGAAAACACAAAACCCACTTGTGTTAATGGTTAATAGCATCTTAATTCAAGATATTAGGTGGGAATGAACTTTACAGCAACAAAAACGTGAACAAAAAAAGTGAGCTAAACAAAATCAAAAGTAAAACAATGAGGAATTGTATTATCAAAGAAGAAAACAAACAAACAAAATTAGCGAGGAATTGTATTATTAAAGAAGAAAACAAACAAACAAAATCAGTGAATAACAAAAGTTGTGGCAAAGAGTAAAAGAATATTTATGTACCTTGTGTACAGGTTGCCGTAGTGCAAGAATACAAAGCCACAACAGGCCAATGTTCATATAGGAGCATGACTGAAATATACTAGCTATTTCAAAAATTATAGGAGACGTGATGTGATTTGTGGCAGTCTTTTCCGTTTGTATCATTTTGACAATATCATAATTATTATGACAAAAATTAATTTCTTACCTTATTTAATTTTAGGGGCATGATGGGAATAACAAAGTAATTTAACAATGAAAAGAATAATATCTAAATATCTAAAAAACAAAACAAAACAAAAAACGGAATGTAATCATACGTGGCACAAAAGTCAAAGGACTTGTATCAACAACAACAAATACAAGGATTGCATCTGACTTCTATTTTCAATGTTGGACTTATACCGAATTTTCTATTTAAAATATTACTCATAACTAAAATGACTAAAATTCAAATCTGACAACCAATATTAACGTAAAAAGATGACAATCTAATTTACTAAAAGTCACATACTGCATTAGAGAATCTGAAGAAAGTCATATAAAAGTCGAGAGAAGCTGCTATTGGGAAAAAGAAGGTAATAAACGGAGAGGTCGGGCGTTGGTAGGACTAAAAATATCTTTCTACCCCTGCAAGTGCATCCCAACTTTTCAGAGACAAAACTGCACCAAACTTATGCGTATGTTTGAAATGAAAAGAGACGCGAGGCGCTGAGGTTTAGGGTTTGGGATATGAACTAATGAAGCTAGTCACACATCCACTAATAAAAACACAAACGAAGCGGGGATTTGTTCACACACACTGCTAAGGTGTCATATAGATTTGAACCTGAGACTGCAAATCAAGACACTTTTCTTTTAGGTTAGGCCCCGTTGACCCTTATCTTTACTTTAATGTTCTTAACAAACAATTTATTTATGGTTTTAAAAAAAGGTTATCTAAACTCAAGTGACACTCCTTCGGACACCCAAAAAAAAACTGTAAGACACTCAAGTTTTTCTTTCTTTTTTGTCAGTAACAAACCAATTTTATTATTTGTAGATTTAGTCAATTCATTTCATAGGATTAGAATGCAATTCCGTGCACTTAATTTGAGTGTGGACCAGCCGACTCTAAGGAAATGGAGAATAATTGTAGTAGACCAGAGAGTAGCTTCCAATAATGGTGTGGATGAACTAGAAAAAGGATCCATATCCAATCAAATGTACGTACATGTTCTGTTAATTACTGATCAAACAAACCTCCTCCTAATCAAATTAGTGAATAAATTATTGACAACTTGAGGTGGGAAAAGAAGATGTTTATATAATATTACAACAAAGATTAGTTTAAGGGCAAAGGGTACAGTTCCAATAATCCAGGCAATGAAATATCACAAATAAATAAATAAAAAGCCACAAAAGTTACTGAGCTATTGGCACATATTTAAGTCGTTAAAAGGGGAAAAATCATTCAAGTTTTAGAGTGGAGGAAGCAAAGAATTTTGGTAGGCCAAGGGGGTTGGGAGTAAGACAGCATGGTTTGGTCGAGATGAGAATGAGAATGTGGGCAAATATGGAGGGATGTTGTTCCTTTTTGTATGTAACAAATATAAATGTTTCCTACGCATACAACAGCTTTGTCTAGGAAACGAGGGTGGTTCAGGGTACATCTAAGATGGGGTCATGGCTTCCCTCATGTGATCAACATGCACATACACACCTTATATATATATATATATATTTATATAATGATTTATGCTAGTCATTTAGCATGCGAGCTTATACTTGTATAGGTTATACATATACTAAGGTGACATAAGGTTTTGAATTTAAGATTATTGGTCTACGAGCAAGTCAAGACCATTTTCACTTAGTTAGACCCCGTTGGCAATTGAAAGTGCTTCAGTTTTCAGTTGTTTTAGCACTTCTTTCTCATTCATCAATTTTACATCACCACACATACATTGCACTTCAATTACTAAAAGTCGATATTTGAGGGCTCCCGACTTGGACCTGATCGCTTGAATCTTGCGTTCGGCTGCAGACCCAGTCCGAGCCGAAGTTAGAAAGGGGAGGGAGGAACCTCACATACACATGTACCATAGGGACTTGGTAATTTATTTGATTATCCACATTTTCATTTAAGTTTTATCAAACAAACTGCATTTTTGTGTGTGTGCACATGTTAGATTACCAAACAACTTCTAATCTAGATGATTTTTTCTTTTTGCGAAGATAACCCTTGAAGGATAACCAAAAATATAAATAGTTCCGATTATTGAAATACATTGTTGGATAGTCTAAAAGGAATATGGCACTTTCTCACAAGGACATTCTTAAGATAAAAAAAAAACTCTCTATATATATGCGCTTAATTCACAAGGATAATAGTGTGGCTGATGAATGTGTATGGTGTGTCAAGGAGTTTTGGACTAAATTGTACAACCACTGGAATTGGATCTACATTACTTTTTTTTATAATTATATTCCTTTATACATTTTTAAATAGAAAATATGGTAAATATATTTTTATACATATATATATAATTTATTACATTTATATAAATTTATAGTTGGCCCCCAGTTCACCAAAAAAGAAACAGAAAAAGGCTTCGGCCCCAGTTTACACCCAAAAAAATTGTTATTCTGAAATAAAAGCAATTTTTTTTAAACCCCAATACGTTTTATAACGTTCTTGCAGTGCGGTGTCTATTAACTTAGGGGTGAAAATTTTGATAATGCCACGATATTGCGACACAAAATTAGTATGAAATATTGGCATGACACCATGTTTTGTGTCATGTTTGAAGTAAAACATTGACTGCAAATGAGTACAAATTTGACATGAATTTGCACGAACTTGACATAAATAACTAAGTAATAAGTAATGAGAAACTAAACTGCAAAAATAATAATAAAGCAAACATTTTATTCATGTTGAGTGTGTTTATAGGGAGTTCATCTATAACATTTGGTCTCAAAAATGAAACATTCAAAATGCCAACAGTTAATGAAAATATTAAAAAGTGTGACTGAACGAGAACGTGGGTCTTACGTTCATGAGACACAAGCAAACTAATTATTTCTTCCCCAATAGTGAATTGGAAGAAGAAGAAAAATCAATTAATACAAACTCATGCATATGCCAAGGGGCTAATATATTTTTTTTTTGGTCGGTAAGGGGCTAATTTCTTAATAAACGTCTTCAGAAAAAGAAAAAGTACATATTATTAATATTTTTTCACCACATCACATATATTAAAATTCGCAGGAAAACAGAGAGTCTCAAGTTTAATTCTGATTGGTGGGTAAAGATAGATCGGATACAACTCGGTGATAAAATGCGCCTCTCTCTCTTTCTGTGTGGTCCGTAAAGTGTACATGGACTATTCAGTATGGAACTGCGCGTGCTAAAATACGCCTACATGGTGTATCGTTATATATATGTGCAAACGCAGCCCCATTAAACCACACCACACCTCTTCCCAACTGTGAAGCTGTTAGAGAGAGAGAGAGAGAGAGAGAGAGAGAATAATATGGAGAAGGAAATGAAGCAATCCAAATTCAAGAGAATTTGTGTGTTCTGTGGAAGTAGCCCAGGAAAGAAAAGCAGTTATAAGGAGGCAGCTATTGAGCTTGGAGAAGAATTGGTAATACTATTTATACTAATAATACCTCTGTTTATTTGAAGTTTGGCTTCTTTTTTTTTGTGTTTTTTTACTTTTTCTACTTCTTCTTTGAGTTTCCAAGTTGGGTTTTTTTATGGAACTGGTTATTTGTCATTTGTTTTTGCATGAACTGTTGTGAGTTGTAGGTTTTTAAGCCAAAACCAGTTGAGAATTTTGTGTTTGATTTTATGTTCCAGTGAATTTGCAAAATGAGTTGTGGGTTATCTAGCTGAACTTCAACTAGGTTGATCTTCATTGTTGTTCTATATAAATATATATGTATGTATCATTGGTTTATATTTTCAAATGGTGTTTCTGATCATATTAGTCTTTAGTCTGACCATGCTCAATTTCAAGCCTCTGCTTCATATCTGCTCTGTCTCCAAAACCCCTGCATATGATTTTCTCTGTCTCTAATATGTATATATGTATATATATATATATATATATATATATATACGTAAAGAAGGTTTTGAATCAACAATGAAATCATTTCATCCTTCCTCCCACTTTCATGGAACAACCAAATGTAGTTGAATGGATGAATCTCTCTCTCTCTCTCTCTCAAATGGATTCCTGTTGGAAATATTTCCCTTTACTGAGTATTCTTTGTTGTCTGGTTTGTAAAAGGTTTCAAAGAACATTGATTTGGTTTATGGAGGAGGGAGTGTTGGCTTGATGGGGTTGATTTCCCAAGCTGTTTATGATGGTGGTAGACATGTCATTGGGTGAGTATCTCAATTCCTCCTTACTTCTCTCCTTGCCTTTCTTCATTGATATTATTATTGACTTTGGCTTTCATCCCAAGTCTCTCAAGCTGATTTTTGTCATGTTATTGTCTCTGCAGAGTTATCCCCAAGACACTCATGCCTAGAGAGGTATGTTCTCTGTTTATGTTAAATTGTTCCAAGAATTTTCCATGTGACATCAAAAACTGAAAATGACCATACAATACAACTAGGGAGAGAAGGACACAGAAAGAGAGAGAGAGAGAGCATTATCTACTTCTTTTTCCCTTTCTTTTAGATATGGAGTACTTTATTCATCTTGTTTGTGGTGGCCACATTTACATGAATGATGAATTTCTACCTTATCTTTGTTATCTTAAAATTCTGGGTTTTCTCACATGTCTCTTTAAAGATTCAAGATTCAAGTAGCTGGGCTCTCTGGCTTCACATTTGATTGGTCCCCCAAATTTTCAGCTTTCACATGTGGAACTGTTTGAATTCATCGCTAAATCCACATGGCCAGTCTAGGTCCTTCAACATTTTTGTCCTTCTCTACTAGCTTTATACACCCACTAGTAGTAACTCAGATTCTCATGAAACAAAAAATATCAACCTTTTATGCCAGTAATTTCTTGTATCTTCCTCCTCTTTCTTTTTGCCTGCCCCTGGTGTGAGTTTGGATTGAGCCCACCACTGTGTACCCCTCATTATTGTTTCTCTGTACCCAACCCTATGAAAAATCTCTCTCTCTCTCTCTCTCTCTCAGTTGCTGTCTGTTTGTGCTTTTTTTCTGCCTTTGGTACCAATTTGTGTTTATTGGATGCGTTTTCAGATAACTGGAGAAACAGTGGGGGAAGTGAAGGCAGTAGCAGACATGCACCAAAGGAAGGCAGAGATGGCTAAGCACTCAGATGCCTTTATTGCCCTACCTGGTTGGTACAAAACTTGGCATATATTACTTCATACTAAACACACACCTTAACACACTAATTTCAATTGGGAACAACATGACATGTATGATTTACTCAAAGTGCACTCACATTAAAGAAATTATTTCCCTCCCAGAGTCAACTGAGTTGACATGGCCCATATTGTAAGGCATACATATACACACCAAGCTAAAAAGAGCCTTTGAAAATATGTAAATCCTACTAAAATTTTTGCTAAAGAATATTCCCCATGTCAAGATATATATTGTCAAATCCCTGTTAAGGGTCCCCCACACACACACTCATACATATCCACTTGTCTCATTTGCTTTCTGTGCAGTTCCAAATAACTGGGTTTACGTCTATCGCGTTTCACACGAGCATTTCTCCTTGTTTAAGTCTTTAATATGGAAGTTGGTTTTGAAATTATATTTTTCAATTAAAAAAATGTTTCATCCTAACCTTCTTCTCTCTCTTCCTCAACAAAGTCAATAAAAGATGAAGGTGACAGACAGTAGTGGGATTTAGCAGGAATATACAAGACTGTATAGTCTAGGCTTATTAGAAAGCTGCAAAGGTACTGTTATGCATGTGTCATGTCAACGCTGGAAAGCTGCTTGGCCTTGTCAACCACATTCCTGGAGGGATTTAGATTTGGCCAAAAACATTTGCCTCCCCAGCCCTTCCTTATATAAGCATCTTTCTACTACTTTTTACAAATGATTTCTAAAAAGAAAATTTCTCTCTTCACTTTGGTATATTTTATTTATTCCCAAGCATATAGCATTTAGAATGCGTGACTATAACTTTTGTGATAGTTCGTTTCTGTTTCTTCTTTTGCTTTATGTAAAAGATGAGACAACGAGAGTCGAATTCTTACGTTGAGTGTGACATTGTTGAAATGTTTTACTACACCTAATATCTATGCCTAAGAATCTGACACTTATAGTCGGAAAGTAGCCATTCAAACCCTATTAATAACCCTCGTTAATTTCTGATTTATCATCACCCTATTGTACCAAAAACTAGACATCCTAAGGAGCTCTCGCTTTCTGTGGTTAGTACTAGCAGTTCTGTCCCACTCCCACCCATTCACTAAAATAAAAAAAATAAAAAAAGAAGAAGAAGAAAATGACACTTTTACCAAAATGGTCCTTTGATAAGCCAGCCGTGGACCTACAAGTTTTCCTTCTTTTATTTTTTTATTTTTATTTTATTTTATTTTGTGGGCCTAACTTTGGGCCTGAAGTTTCAGTTCAAGTGGGTTCAGGCTTGGACAGTCATCTTGGGTGAGCCCATTTCCTTTATTTTTTTTGGTCAATAGCCCATTTCCTTTAAAGGAAGAAGAAATTAGCCAATTTTGCCTTTCCCCTTGGACTATGAAAGCTTGACTATTGCCAGTAGAATATCTGATTCTATTTTTTATTATTTATAATTATTATTAATTTTAATTTTTTTATATGTTGAAGGTGGTTATGGGACTCTTGAAGAACTTCTTGAAGTGATCACATGGGCCCAGCTGGGAATCCATGATAAGCCTGTAAGCACTATGTCTATCCAATTTGATGAGTCCCGTTTGGTGGGTCAGTCTAAGACATCACTTAACTGAGTTTTGAACTTGACATCGTGTCCCATAGAAATGAGAAAGTGGGAAAGGAATCCAATTTGATGAGTCGAATCCCACCTTTTATTGAGAGCATCAAACATGGAGACATCACACTAGTTCAATCGAATTAGAATAGCAATAGTAATGTCTTGTGACTACCAAACGACATCGCGATAGGATAATCAAACAAAAATGGTGGAATATTATTGAACAAAAATGTCCTTTTTTTCTTCTTCTTGTGCAGGTGGGATTGTTGAATGTGGACGGGTTCTATAACTCGTTGTTGTCGTTTATTGACAAGGCTGTTGAAGAAGGTTTCATTAGTCCAACCGCGCGACACATAATTGTTTCTGCCCCTACTGCTAAGGAGCTAGTGAAGAAAATGGAGGTACAAAATTTTAAAAAATTTCTTCCAACTTTCTATTTTGTCTGTTTGTAAATTGTTAATATTAATTTAAGAAAAATTATTTGGTCTACTGTATTTGACTAAACTTGGTCCTGCATAAATTTATTTTTTATTTTTTTTAGGAATATTTCCCACGCCATGAAAGAGTTGCTTCAAAGCTAAGCTGGGAAATTGAACAGCTAAGCTACCCCACAATATGTGACATTTCAAGATGAGCAAATTAAGACCTGGGCAGACAGAGACTGGCCAGCTACCTCTTCTTTGTTGAAAGGAAACTAATTTTAGATTACTGAAACCTTTCCCCAAACTGGGAATTCCATTTTTCTGTAATTTCCCTGTTTTGTTAGTGTAAACTGCAAAAAAATGAAAAAAAAAATTAATTGACCTCAACAAGTTATGCAGCTTGATTAATTACAACTGTCTTCAATTTGGAATTTGGTTTTTAGTTATAATGTTCAATCTATGCTGAAATGATTTGTGTAATAATATTGTAAAGTTCTTTTCTTTTTCATCGCTTTTTGCGAACTTCTGTAAATTCATATCATATGTCGTTTGACTATGTTGATATTTTCTTAAAAAGTGCTGCTAAATGAACCCTAAAATTAACTGAGTACACCCTAATATTTTAATCAAAATGTAAAATTAACAAAGTACACCCTATTTAACTACCAAAAATTACCCTGGTACACCATAATACACTCTATCACACAACAGCCTAATACTAATTCTAAACTAGGTTTCTCTTTTTACATGAATTTGTACCCTCTTTTCAGATTTGAGGTTCAATCAAAATCTTTAATTTCGTAAGCTGTTGTGGGAGTAGATTTGTGAGCTCCTACAATTTGAAGCTTGATTCTTGTAAATCCTTGTGATTTTATTCGAACTATGTGAAGGGGACTCAAACATCTCTTTCAAATTACTAGTGAAATGCATCATTACCAGTCTGCTGAAATCCTTGAGAATTTTGGATGCTTCCAAGTTAGAAGAAAAGTTTAAACCTTGGGATTTTAAAGTCATCCACTTCAACTTTATTGTGTGGATGATGTTGAGCTAAGAAGTCAGATTGGAACAAACTTTTTCATTCAAATATGGCTGGCCATCTTTTACATCAGGAAGAATTAAGTACATGGAGAAATGCCAACACTTGTCTTTTGTTGTGTTTGTAAGGAATCTCTAAGCCACTGAAGCATCAAAGACCCTTAAAATTATACGAAAACTTCTCTACGTTAGGGTTGAATATGGTGAGTGGGGTGTACTTATTAAAATTATATTTATTTCACAATTCCATATATCCTTTTTGATCATTTTATATTAAGGTAAATTAGTAATTCAATAAATACTTTGGCAAT